ACTTTAGAGAGATAAAGACTTTGTTTACAGGTTTTGTTATCTTTTTCTAACTAACTTAGTACTTACTTTCTGTCCTCTCTCTCTACTAATAGATTAATTACTTATTAGTAATAATTAAAGGTTAATAATACTAAGCTAGAGTTCTTACTAAGTACAACAATAAAGGTAGTCTAGTTAATCTAGCTAATCTCTAAACTTGTAACTAATAGAGTTTTGTATATAAACTACTTAATTCTAAGTCTTAAGTTAAGCTTTTCTAAATTTAGTTACTATATTTTATAATTCCTAACATTCTCCTATTCTTACAAAGGAAGGACTTAAAGAGTAAGAAGTAGAAGCTATAATTAATTAATAAAAACAAGAACACAGTCTCTAATACCTTGTTTACTAGAAAGGGTACAGTTTAGAAGACAATCTTTAATTACTTAAGTAAAAACTAGAAGACTATATAGTATTAAACTAATAGGAATAATAGTTACAAGCTAACTCTTATACATAGTCCTTTTTAATCCTTAATTTCCATTCTACAAAACACTTGTAGAGTGTGTTTAACTAATACCTTCTTCTCTCTTATCTTTATCTTTGTATTTAACACATTTTTTCTCTTACTAAACATTCTTAATTTCTATTCTAATATATTCCTCCTTCTTTAATCTCTTCCCTACCTTACTTGTTCCTTATCTTTTATATTTATTCATACTCTCTTACACTACTCTTCCCTTTCTTCTCTTTCTCTCTTCTTCCTAGTAAGGAAGAGTGTAACCTTATAAAGGTTATATACAATCTGTTAACCTTATTACATAACTTATCTTATAAATAGCTTTAAAACATTTCTAAGACTGAATCTCTTCTTATACCTTCTTTAATACTAGTCAATTATCTGTTCTACAACCTAAGTAAGATATTGTTTCTAAAACTATTAAAACAATTGTGTGTAAAGAATTTTACCCTTAATGTTTGTGTTTTAAGTAACCTAATTTTCTACTTATATAGTAACTGTTCCTTCCTTTAAATAAGAAAGTATAAAGAGTATCTTCTTTTTACTATTATAGAAGGCTCTTTTATTAGTAAGAATATATAAGAGACATTCTCTTTTAAAGTTATAATAATTCTTACCTTCTTTATACTCTCTAAGAGTAGTAGTAATCTTTCTAAGGTTTCTAGTAAGAGTATAATATATTACTATAGTAACAGTTTAACTAGTAACTTCTGTAATTAATTGAGAGACTGAATTTATGTCTAAGTATATATATGTACCTTACTAAAACTATATAAACTTATAAGGTATAAGAGAGTTTCTTAAAGGATTTAACATTGTTTTTAAGATTAACTCTAATAAATTAACTTCTAAAGTATTAAATACTCTTTCAAATGCTTAAGTAAGCTCTAAAACATTTGAGTCTTTGTTAGAGGCTAGTATAAATGTTTATAAACAATATATAAGTTCTAGGAAACATTTTTTCAACTAGTTTACTATCTAGACAACTTTAATCTTTCAGTTTTAAACTCTTAAACTACTTATATACACTTTATTCTAAGTACAATCTAATAACTCTTATTTAATAATACTAAATAACTGTAAAACAATACTAGACTTTTAGACTGTAAGGTTTCTAAAAGTATTACTACTTAAGAGAGACTCTAGTCAACTAGTAAACAAAGGCTAAAGATTAAGCTTTATAAATAGTAAGTTAAAAAGTATTTAGAAAAAAGTATAACTATATAAATTATAAAGACAACACACAAACTTGAAAGAGTAAAAGAGAGTAGAGAATGGTAGTAATATAATCTTAAGAGTAGAGTATAAAATAATAGAAAAATAAAGTAACAAATGAGTAAGGGACAATATAGAATTAATAGAATAGTAAATTAGTTTAATAGTTTTTTAAGAAAGTAAAAGGTAAGTTTATAAAGAAAGTAAGGAATACTTAAACAAGTAGTAGCTCAGTTTCAGTAAACTAACTGAGTAGTAGCTTATATTAGACAGATTAGACAGATTGAGTAGATTAAGTAGAAGGAGTAACTAAGTAGTAGTTTAAGTTAGAGAAAGTTAAGTAGTAACTCTAACTATATATAAGAAACAAATTAAACAGTAGTTCAGACTCAAAGGAGAGTTGGATCAGATAGAGAGGGTAGTCAAGTAGTAGCTTAGACTAGAAGAATATTAATTAAGTAGTAACTTAGACTAAGAGTAGTATTAAGGTAAAGATAAGTTTTTTGTTTCTTATATTAGAGGAGATGTGTTCTTTAAGTTAATAGTACTCTTAAACTGTAAATGTAAACCTACAGCCCTTAATCCAACTATATTCCTAAAGCTACTAGCTAGGATTTATACTAGGAGAACAAGTAGAAATATGAGAAGAGTTAAAAAACTAAGGAACTACTGTATTTACAAGTTACTTTTTATAATAACTAAACAATAAGAGTAAAGTAAGGAATAAAACTTGAGAATAAGATTAAAGAAATAATAAGAACAAATATTACAAAGCTAACAAGTGTATTAGAGGCTAGGAAGAATTAACAGAGTATTGTGTATTAGAGAATATAAACTAAAAGGCTATTATACAAAAGAGGTACAAGTTACTATATTAGGTAAGAAATAGATTGACTGTATTATAATTGTATACACTACCTTGTGTCTCTGTAGCTCTCTCTTATACTCAATACTATAACAATCTCTATAAAACTTTGTAGAACAATAGATAAAATGTTAAGAATTATAAAAATCTAGTAGTAATGTTGGTTTTTTACAAAACTGACAGAGATATAAAGAAAATAAAATAGGTCCAATCCTACAATCCTAACACAGAACCTGTAGAATCTCAGACAGAGAGAGAGTAAGACAAGTATAGAGTATATAGAGTAAGTCTAAGAGTATAGGACTACCTAGAGTAGACAAGATTAAGACTATAGAACTAGTCTAATCTTGTACATATATATATACTAAAATATACAAGAACACTTAGAGAATGATAAGCTACAAAGAATGAAGAATGAAAAGGTTAAAGATAAGTAAACAAAGAATGAAGAGGTAGACAAAGGGTAAGAGATCTTAGAATGAATAAAGAATGAAGGGGTGAATAAAGGAAAAGGGTAACAAGGTAGAAAGGGGTAGTAATAAGAGTCACTGTAAGGATCATTCTACACATAGTCTATATACAGTGTATCTGAGGGACAGAAGGCTTTAGAACTGACAGAACTGAGAGCACAAGAGTAGCAGATCATAACACATAGACTTGCTCTATTTGATCTAGTGTCTTGTCAAACTACAAAACATGTCCTCTAACTGTAAATAGTACTAATATATTGACTGTATGAGTCAACATAGTTTGTACATTGTATCAATCAGCTAGTGTCTACATAAGGTCTTTTATTGTTTTGTGTATTGTAACATTAGTATACACTGTATCTGATATTGTCTTTGTTATAAAATGATACAATAGTTTCCCTGTGTGTATACTGTCTGTATCTGTACTAGGGGGATTGTTTGTAAGATGGACACTGAGTAGTATTGCTGCTAGTGCATTTGTAATACATAGTTTCCATATCTTATAGTTCTTTACACTTATAAGCTTCTCTGTGTCTTTAAAGAATGTAGCAAGTTGATTGTTATCAATCTTTAGAGACTCAAACATTAACATAGATTGTGCCATTGTTAGAGGCATTGCATTCATAGGTGGAGCACTAGTACTAGGAGGGGGGTAGATGTCTGAGGTAGAGGTGGCATTCATAGTGTTGTTTGTGTCAATAGTGCCATTCACAAGCCTGCAAGGCTCATAACCTGTTAGAACAGGGAGTTTGGAATGGTACTACATTAGATGCACATATATGTGCACCCTTATATACTAGATACATTGTGCTATACTAGTAAATGAGACGTAAAACGCAGCGTGTCGAATACTCGCTTTATCACCATTCTTTCACATTTCTGGGATTCCAGATTCAGCATCCGAGGCAAATCAAGAGACGCAGACATTGAGCACACATCTTTGAGATTACTTCGTCGTTGTACCCGAATGCACTATAACACATAAATGTTATCCTTGACTTATCAACTCAAGCCCTAATGAACATACTCAAGAAAAGTGGCGACGAGCTCCGGAGCAGACGGCAAGTTCGGGCACGCCACGTAGAGGACTTCGCTTGTCGGTCGGTGTAGACGGGGACGTTGATAAGGATGACGGATATGTGCCACGCACAGGACCCAACATGAAATTTAGGATGATCTAGGTCCGGATGCAACCTCTAAACCAGCTTCAAACCCATTGACGGTGATGAAAAAAGATTGCCCGTTCTCTGACGGAAGAGAAGGAAAATTGGAACGGTAGCATCTGAAATAATTAGCCAAGGTTGGACTCGACAGAAATATTCCTGCTGGAGTAAATAGGACTTAGTGAGACAGGCATAAGATAAAATGCAAGGCAGACGTAAGGTGCTGCTGGGACAAGGATGATCTGCCTTGATCTATGGTTTCCCTGTTTTTCAGCCATTCTCACGTTCTAATCAGTTTCTTTGCCAGATTTGCCGAAGGACATCTACAACAACGCTGTATTGACCAAGCTGAAACTCTCCAGGGGAGTCAGAATCACCGAGATTCGGTAATACGGTATAAGTATCTGTGGAGTTATCTGCGGCGGAAAAAATCTCTGCCCAATGTAGACTTAGTTGCGTCATACAGCAACGAAGAACGGAAGGTCGCGATAAGACGGAAGCAAATCGTGCGCCTAGCAACACAAATTCTATTGAACGAAAATCCTATTGAGATTATGGCTTTTGGAACAAGCTCGATGATGCCTTCCTGTCCGCCACATCTCGATTACTGGCAAACTGGGTTGGACTTGTAAATCGGCGGAATCTATGGGTCTGGGAAAACAAGTGGCAGTGTGAGACGTATTCTTGGCTACGTGCGCATTGCCGGCGCATGTTACATGGAAACCCTGCTAATAAAAGTCCATCTTATTGCCGTCACACTTCTGCTACTTATGCCCTCCCACTACTCCTTTCATCGTTGTCTCGTATGAAGTGGTTGTCGGCTGATGGTTACTGATCACCTTAATTTTTTCCGTGTTCACGTTCTCTTCTTGTAAGCTGGGCTTTCTTATACCTATGAGATGCTATTGGTATGGGGTTGACAATATACTCGTCTGCACAGTACATTTGCGCCTCTAGTGTTCTCCTGGATCTTCTATGGTGCAAATGGCGCTACACATATCCCTTACATCGACGCCCTATATGTGTGCTTCAGCGCGACCACCGTTTGTGGACTCAGTACTATCGACTTGAGCTCGCTCACAGGCTTTCAGCAAGCGCTTCTGTTCATACAGTCTGCTATCGGTAACCAAGTACGTATATTCTTTCGGATGCCCTGCAATGCCGATTCGGGGACTAACGGAACGGAATACTGTAAAGGTGGTTGTGTCATGGGTGATGGTCTATATTCGGAGGTGCGTTGTTTCTATTGAAAGCGCTGTCACCACGACCCAATGCTTACATGTGTTTTATCATGAAATCTCGGGTAGACGGTACTTTCACAGGAAATTGCAATACATCGTCGAGGCGGAGGTTGCAAAGCGCAAGGAACTCGCAGCACTAGAAGAAAGTGCGAGCGGACGGCGACGACTGACACGCTTTTTCACTCGTTATCCAACGAGGCAAGACAGTGATAGGAATGCACACGAAATCGAGCGGGATGACCACGAGAAGGGCGCGAGGCAATCGTCGCTAGAAGGAAGGATAATCCGGCGGACATCCGAACCTCCGCGCCGAGTCGACCCAAATGGGCTGATCTCCGATCCGGTTCCCGTTCCGAATCAGGGATCCGAAAACGCAACTTCGGCATTTACGTCTAAATCCTCAACTCTACGGAACGACAGACTGACAATTGATGCTGGTGGTTGGAGTGATAAAATACGGGCTGTAGGGAACATTGACCCCATCGAGGAGCATCTTCGAGCGTCTCATGAAGGAGCCTCGGCGCCAGAAGGGAACGATTATTTTGGATTGAGGGTTGAGAGTCCCGCGGTGGCAAGCAGTATCAACCCGTCAATTGACATTATCCATGATGACCGAAGTGCGCGTTTCATCTTTTGCCACTTCGCTTTCTTAAATTTCATATTCGCCGGCTAATCTCAAAATCCAGCGTATATTCCACCTGGCGGCGCGCCACTGCGTCGACGTACGACGGTCTGGACGACCCGACGACAGTCCACAAGGCAGCAGATATTAAGAGGCATTCCAGAGGCCGACGAGATAGTCCATGAGGAATATGTCCCATCACGTCCAGCTGCGAAGAACAGAGGTTACGGTGGATTTCCGTATCCTACAACTTATCTTTATCGCCTGCTCCAAAGAGCGTACCGAAGGCTGCGTAACAGGTTCATGGGTTGGCGAGAGCTTAAGCCTACGGTAACGAGTGAAAAGACTATACCGTATTCAAACACCCGAGAATCCGGGAAAATGTATGACATGACGAAGACTGTCAAATATTTTTCGGATTCGTTCAATGCGCTTATTGGACGGAATTCAAAGTTCTATGATTTAACGGAAGAGAATCTCGAGGAACTCGGTGGAGTGGAATATCGTGCGCTAAATGCCTTGCTTTGGATTGTTGCTACTGTGCGGTTTCCAGACATCTTATACTCGTTAAGCCAACTGAATATACTCATTGATATTATCTCTTTCAAACATCTGACAGTATCACATCCTAACCCAGCTCCTTTCTTTCGCAATTATTGCACCGTACCTCTCAATCAGACATTGGGTCTCTGTTTTCAATCCGCCGAGCCTCCATCAACATGTCAGCCCAGTGTGGTATAGCGCATTCCAAGTCGTATCGGCGTACACGACGTGTGGACTGTCCCTCGTGGATCAATCAATGGTGCCGTTTCAGGAGGCGTATCCCTTGATTTTTGTCTGCACGTTCTTAATTTTCGCAGGCTTCCTGGCTTATGTGAGTTTCCCATCTCGTTCTCTCGCTTGAGTGTAATTCGGTAACTGAGTAAGCCGTTGTTCAAGCCCGTCTTGTGAGTTATGCATTTTGTTGGGACGCGTATAGTTATACCTTACCCCTATGCTTTCCGCAGCCTTCGATTCTTCATGTGGGTTTTCCCATCCTCTTATGTCATTCGCGATAGCTGATTCTTGATGCTGGAAGCTGGTCGATTATGAAACTAATCCCGAATACGCGACTAAATGAGACTCTACATTTTCTGCTTGACCATCCTCGCCGATGCTACATTTATCTATTCCCATCACATCAGACGCGACTCCTTCTGCTTGCAATCGTTTTGCTTCAGTGCGTACAAAATCACTTTGCTTTTTACTCTCTCCTTCCAGACCTTCATGGAGCCGAGAAACGTTCTAACAAGCTCGTATTCTGACGCATAGCTGTGTTGATTATTTCTTCTTTCTCGTACTAAATATCGGGGCCGCCGCGTATGAGACAATACCGCTCGGTGTGCGCTTCGCAGTTGGTATATTGCAGGCGACGTCAGCCAGAGCGGCGGGATTCGCAATTGTCTCAATATCGAGCCTTGCACCTGCGTTGCAGTGAGTCTGATGTTGTTGATGTCGTCTTTGCTGCTATTCGCTAAAGCGACACATCTGCTAGAGTGTTATTTGTCATCGTGATGTATCTTGGTGTTTGTACGTCGGTATCATTCATCTCTTCATCACACTTGCTAATTCGATATGCTAGATCCCATCGCTTTAAGGTCAGGTCCTATTATTTAAGATACTACAGTTCCGAACTGACAAGACCGGAATTGAAGTGTCCAAGCTACGAATGTCTATGAAGAGAAGTCTCTAGGTGTCTTCGAAGATGAAGAAGAAGCGGAGGAGACCGACTTTGAGCCGAAAGTAGAGGATTCTCAACCATCGTCGTACGGTCGATACATGGCATGGCATGCTCGGAGGCAACTTGCATTTGGTGAGTCCAAAAGATTCTGCACCCAATTTAGTAGGTCTTCTAATTTGATGAGAAACGAAGATATGTGGTGGCTTGGGCTCGTATTATTCGTTCTGTGTATCATTGAACGCGGCAAGATTCAGAATAGCGACAACTTTGAGTGGTTTACTATATTCGCTCTCAGTCAGCATTTATCCTGTCCTGAATGATTCTCGACTCAACAGAAATTTTTACGACAGTTTTCGAGATCATCTCTGCGTATACAGGTGTTGGCATGAGCCTTGGAGTTCCTTACGTGAGATCCAATCCTTTCTATTTCAGACCGCCTGACACCCAATATTCACGTCCAATACGCCGACCAATAGGCAAACTTCTCCTTTTCCGGTGCCTTTACACCCCTTTCAAAGCTCATCATGGTCGCCGTTATGCTTCGCGGTCGACATCGTGGATTACCCGTGGCGATTGATCGAGCCGTTATGCTGCCTTTTGAATTCCAGAAAGCCGCACCGAGTGATGGTGCCACTACTGAAGAAGGTCACTATGGTGAAAACGGGGCGAGGATGGGAAATACGGATCATATTGCGGTGCTTAATAGGATAATTGGCGATGATAGAAACTCTAAGAAGCAGAACGCGCTGAACGAAGAATAATTTTCACTTCCTTTTGGAAATTGGACTTTTGCCTTGGAGGGATACTAATTCTGAATTAACCTTTCGGTTGTAACTCATCTCTAGATAGCAGGCTTTCGGAGGATAAGGATAGAAACTAGATAAAATAGGGTATTTTGACATAATATTATTAACGGATTGTAAGGGCCGTAAATACACGAGCTGCGAGTGAAATGAACCAGTAATCCTGACTCCTAGGTCACCCATTCAATGAGCACATGTTCATTCACGAGATCCGAGTGGAATGCAGAGAGTAATGAACCAGAGCCTAGCCAGGTCACGATGGAAGTGCCATCGTCATGTCTCACTTTATCTGGACCTCGGATATATAATGCCCATTCATCCCGCGTATTTGTCTCGTCTCTTTGCACAGTACAGACAAACTTGCGTTTACCAGGTCACACTCATACATAACATCGAGCGAAGAAAAGATGGCTTGCGATTGTACTGGCAACATTCAGACTTGCACGTACGTCCCACTTCCTTTGATATTAAGTTCCGGATCTGAGCATAACAATTTTGCTTTGTTTGATGTAGTGCGTGCGGACCGAGTGGTAAAGGCTGTGTATGTAAAAAGAACGAGTGTACGTGCGAGGGGTGTGTTAATAAGACGCATGCTACTCAGGTGAGGTTTCCAATCAAATTAATGACTAGTTCACCGTTTTGATGGTTATGTAGTGTTCGTGTGGAGGTAAAGGCGTGAACTGCTCATGTGCAGATAAGCCTGGTGGATGTACCTGTGCCAGCACGTGAAACATCGGGCAGCATTAAAAAAATGTACAGTGATTCCTTTCGAAATAGCCTGTACGGTGCGATGGGTTATATGGATATGTACTGGATAATGGGTCTTTGTTTGTGTTTATTATAACAGTTCCGAGAGGGTTGCTGAATTATGTTGGTCGATTTGTATCTGTTTACATTTGAAAATTCCAAAAAATGGATTTGGCCTGTAAATGGATTTGGCCTTTCTCCGTGTGGCCCTGAATTGCTGAACTGATATCGCCTAAGCAAGACCTCGAGCTCTAAATCTGACTGCGTATTTGTTGACGCACTATGAAAATTTTAGCATAAAGGATAAATATACTTAGCAATGCTTAAATTAGCAAACACATGCTGTACATCCGACCAGATGTTCAATCGGTTAGATATGCATACGTGCTGTTGAATCCCGAATCCCGATATGTCTTCCCAACCAAGTGCTCCACGATCCGTAGAGCATTGAGATAACGACTGAACCAAGTAGTGACGTTGAAGGTGATATCATTACAAGGATCGCCAATGTATTTATGGAGTAATATGGACCGTCTTTGGTGAACTTTTATCTCGCTATTGTCCACCGACCTTTTGAAAAGCCGACCACATTAGACGTCAGAAAAACTTTCACAATCCGGTACAAAGTAAACATGGCTTGTGACTGTACCGTAAAATCCGAAATGTACACGTATGTCCAATGTTGTCCTACTGTTATATCCGATGATCACGATCATCTTTTTTCTCTTCGGCCAGTGCGTGTGGACCGGGTGGCAGAGGCTGTACGTGTAATGGATGTACGAGCAAGGCGCATGCCACGCAGGTACGGTTTGCTATTCATGTACATATGCTGTAATCTGATGCAAATGCTATGTAACTTCTACGTATATGCCCAATGCGATCTGTTGCGCGCTGTAGTGTGCGTGTGAAGGGAAGGGCTTGAATTGTGACTGCGCGGATAAACCTGGAGGATGTACTTGTGCATGATGGAATCCGATGGGATGGACGTTGTCCTTGGCATTGCAACATGATGTTGCTATATGCAGTGTATTGTACTTGTATCGGATCAGGTTGTAGAGTCAAAGGACAACCAGATAGGTTTTGAACGTTTCTGCAAGTGGATTTGTGACAAAATCGGAAAGTTTGCAGCAAATGTCGACTGTTGCGCCATATCGGAACACGTTGCTCGGGACAAAAATAAATCCGTCACCCATAACAATTGATTTGACGAAGGAAGCTGCGAGCGGTGTAGCGCAGTGCGGTCCCGACAGCGAAGTTGATCTTGGCCCGAGGCTTATCAATGGAAGAACTCACCCCGTTTCAAACCGGTTCACGGCTTCTGCAGTTGGCCGTGTGAACCACGAAGAACAGGAATGAGAGTCGGAGTTTTGCTATTTACACTATGTGAATTGTTGTGTGCTGGAAGTTTTATTGTGGAGAGCAAGTATCGCTGTCTTTGGTGTCCAGTGACGAGTCAATTGCCGGTTCTCTTGCTCGTGTGCGTTTTTATACATGGGTGGTGGTTGTATTGACTGTCGCGGCGGCCGTGTGAGCCCAGTGCAACGGGTGTCACACAGGGTGGCGTTTGGCCATCGACGGCCATCAATTTCTCATGACAATAAGCAGCCAAGAATGGGATTTCTTGGCAAGAACGACGGGCCCAGCACAACGGATTGATGATGGAAAGGTTCCGATCTATCGGGAGGCCAGTTCATCTGTGTATGTTGGAGCCCTTGATCTTCTGTTATCACATTCATGGTATCAACCTATTCGGAGTAATCATGATAGCTGCTCAAGTACTTCGCGTTTTCGTCGGCCTGAAGAAAAATGCTGGCAAAGTGGTTTGGATGCCACGTAGAAGAGTAAGTTTTGGTTCTCGGGTGCCAGCGCGGAATGAACAGTTGCTGTGAACGACGGAGGAGCGGGATGAATGGATTTTCTGCGTGTTTAGTGGACCCGTTGCTAGAGTGATCTGTGGGCACGCAACAACACACGGCTACGGTAAACACCTACATAGACCATCCCCTACGCGGTAGCAGTCGGCTTCCGGGTTCTCTCTACCCTCCTCTCTGAGCTGGCTCTTTCCCTTTCCTTCTATCCTTCCCTTTTCCTCTTCTCATCAACCCTTCCTTCTCTCTCTCCTCTGTATTTAATTCCCCCCTTCCCTCTCCTTACTTTTTCTTTGGTCATTTCTTTCCCGGCTGGCCCGTTCGTTTTGGAGACTTTAAGAGCATTCTTGCCTGTGAGTGCGGGACTAGGAGGAGGAAGGGCACGCAAAGATGCGTGTCAAGCATATTTTGAATCGGCTTTCGGTGGGGGAGAGGCTGAAGCTTGTCGTAAGTCACTTGTTAACTCGTCTGTACCCTATTTTTCTCATTTATTGGATCTGCTACTGTAACTTAGTATGAACGAATCACCCTCACACGGTTCACATTGACGTTCGTTATTGTCGCGGTCATTCACTGTCTTGTGCAGATCGCGCTGCAGACGACTGCGTTCACGTTCAACTCGCGCGCGGCGGATGTTTTGGGGCATATCATGAGTCAGTCGGACGTCCCTCGACAGTATGCATTTGTGGATAATGGGAAGTTGTTTGTGTGTGATGGAGTACCAGACGGAGGACCGTCTGATAACGTTTGCTGGCCAATTGCTGGACCGGGTGTTGTTCCGCCCCCGCCAGATGCGTCTGTTGGACAAATGGATATGAGCTTTGGAGATGACGACGACGATGACGACGACGAAGGTCCTTTCGGTGATGACGAGGATCACTTTGAGAAACAGGATCGGAGGTCCCCGCTTGAGTTGCGTGACTTGACGGCGGTGCCGATAGTCGACGACTCGGGAGCGGTCGTTAATGTTAACGTAACGGGTGTGGATGGTGAAGATCCTAATCAAGTCTTTCAACTTTCCCCTCTTTGTGTCGAAGCATTGAATTGGCCAAATATCATGTGAGTAGCTTTTTTTTCATTTCAGTGGACTTGTCTTTGTGGCGTTTAATTGAATATGCGCTTTGCAGACTCCATGATTCGCGGAGGGAAGACATCGCATTCCTCTTCTATCAGGTCTGGCTGCTCGGAATCTCGCTAGTAACAGTACGTATCAAATTGATTTTCCCGTTTGTTCCGTCTCCTGTGCGTTCCGTTCATTCCGCTGATCCTATGCCCATCACCCAAATATAGATCCTCAACGAGTCTATTCCGCATTTGTAAGCCCCCTATCCTCGTTTTCAATCAAAGTGAAACTCGCAACGGCATCATCATCTATTTTCAATTTTTCTTTCGGAACCGTGTTGCTAACTAATATGATAATTGATATAGGGTTGCTGCGCTCGTAATGCACGGGTTGTCAACTGGGTGGAGCGGTTTTCAGGTGTCGCGCACCGGCCGGTACGAGCGCGAGTATCAGACGCTCATTGTTAATGATACGTGCAATGGCGTGGATATTATTCCGGGCTTTTGGGAGAGACGGATGAATTATTTCGTGGGTCTCGTGATATACTGAGGTTGGTATGACATGCTGATTTGCGAGGCGTGCATGTAGATCCCGATCTTGGTCTTGAATGCTGTTGTGCTTGCCATAACGCTTGGAGTTTCTCTGAAGCTTTTTAGCGTATGTATACCCTCTTAAATATTGCTACATGCCACAGCTTGACGATCATTTTGCTCTTAGGTATATGCCAAACAAACATTCAACCGTGTTGGGGCATCAAAGAGGATGAATGTGATGTACTCTGTAAGCATTTCCTATCCAGTCCTGCATGGGTATAGCGCTCGACTCATTGTTCATCGATAGTACATTCTCCTGCTGTCCGTCTTCCTTCAGCTCTCTGCGTTCTTCACCATCTGCGGATCGGCGTTATGGATCGATGTCATGAGCAATGGCATCCTAACCGGTAAGGAAGGTTATCGGGTGATATTCACCATCGCGAGCGTCGTAAGTGTAACTTCGCTTTTTCCTTATAAAATGGCTAGACTCATATATTCGTTCGCATAGGTCGAATTCCCTTGGGTGATTCTCGGCTGGATTTCTTTCCGTAGAGAACACCGCATTTGGTCACTGGTGTTCATCATCATTGGGATGTTACTCTGCGCAGCTTGGACGACTATGTTCGCGAACGTGCTTTATAGATGGGCGATGCAGAACTTCCCATTCTTTGCTACGTTAACGATCACAGCGTTTATTGTGCTTGTTGCTACGGTCATTCTGGCAGTGATCTGTCGGATGCATTTTGGGAGGGGGCTGCCTCAGTATCGTGAGTATCCCCGGGTAGTATAAACGCTGATGAGACGGATGAGGGTTCTGACGATCTGTTGACTCTTTTTTTTAGTGAAACGAGAAGAAACGTTCGATGATTCGAGTTTCGTACCTGTCATCGTCCCGAATAAACGCCAGTCGAAGCTCGTCTCCGTAATCTTCCCAGACAAACGAACGAGCGCGTTGCGGAGGATGTCAGATGAGAAAAAGACCTATACTCTCAATCCCTACGATCGTCGTGGGCAAGGCCAATGGACATCTCCTAACGGGAGTGTCGTCGACATCAAGCCTCCCAGTGGACACGGACACGGCCACCGCTCAGAAGTATCTTCTGTGTATACAACTGTAACGAGTGCCGGCGCTTCGGACGGACACAGTCATGGGCATACCACCGCAGAACAGAACGCCCGTGAGAGGAACTCGATATTCTCACGAGCTCGCATTCCGTTTTTGCGTTTCTCGGATTTATCAAAGTCGGGGATGGGGAAGTTAACTTCGAGGTTCTCGGCTTATACATCGAGTAGCTCGACTTCGGATTTAGAGGGAGGTGGGATGCCGGAGGTGTCTTTGCCGATGCCTCTACCTGCTGCACCGAGGAAGAACAAAGCAAGCATTAGTAGTACGTATTCTGCTGCTTCATTGGCCCGATCGACCATGTCTGCTCGAATGCCCGCACCTCTGGAAGAAGCGAAGATTGGGAAGGCGACGCTGAAGAGCATGTCGATACGTGCAGTGCAGATGCCTCCGCCAACTATACATGTCATACCCGCGTCATTGACGCGCCCGTATCCGTTCGCCGAGGCGGAAGCGGTGGGTGGTGATGAGGTTGCTACTCGCCCTGCCGCTGCTATTTCAACGCCTGCACGGGAAGAGAAGATGGAGTTCACGACTACTACTAGCTCGAGATCGGAATCATCGTACGGACATGCACGATCTGGTTCCGGTTCGAGTTCAGGTTCTAGCTCTGGGAATGGGAGTGTGAGTGGGTCGAGGAGTGGACGCTCGGAGACTCACATACCGGGAATACGCTCTTCGCCTCCAGGGAGAGCTTTCGCAGGTTTACCAGGAAACCCTCGAGTGTATCGCTCTTGAGTTTACCGTTTTCAATCATTCATTGATTTGATTTGATTTGATTTAATCTGATATGATTTGTTGGGCTGTTGTTTGTGCTGTCCTTCATTGACACATTCCCTCCTTTTGTCGAACCCTTCACGCGTTGTACCGAAACGAGCTGAGCCGGGTCGGTGTGGTGATTTTTCATGACTAGATGAGTCAGTCATTCAGAGTATATAATTAGCCGTTTTATTTCATTTTCTTCATGCTTTTGGTGACGGAGGACTGGTGCTTCCTGTCTCCATTTCTTCTCTTCACTTCGCACCACTCGCTCATGCATTGTTGCCTTTTCCATTCGGTATCTACATGCATTTGTATAATTTACCTCATCCCACTCTGCTGTCCTACACACTCTTCCTTTCGCTTTCTCTTAAGATTAAGGTTGGGGCTATATGCGTCGGAGCATTAGGCATTGTTTGTATACATACACATATATGGCAGATTTGATTCAGAATATATCAGACTGGGATGCGTGCACACTACTGTATGTAGACAGTACATCCAGCGGTGCTCCCTTAAAAACGGTTCCTAAATAATGAATGATTGTTTGACGACGTTCGTACTTCAATTTATACAATCTATCCTTTACATTTGCTTTCTGCCAAGTAGCGCAACAACCTGAAAATGAATGTTCATGGAATGTATGTACATAAAATGCCATCAAGGCTTGTGTGAAAACCCAAAAAGGGGCTAGCGAAGAAAGTCGACAGCTAAAGTTGAAATATGGACAACGAAAGGTGCGAAAGATGAAATAAGAATAGTCCAATTGGCATTCATTTCAGGCAAATACTTCATTGTAACCCATCAATCTTCACCTCCCTATTCTTCTTTGAGTCGGTCTTGCGGTCCGGCTTCAAGTCCAACACTCTGTCGAAATCACTTGCAACGTCAGAATGAGATCGTGCTTCTGCTTCTGTGTCAGTATCACGATTGGTGTCACGAGGGAGAAGGACGTTGACGATCTTGAAGTCCACTTCGAAGGGATGCTTCTCGAGGTCGTCATCTTTGTCTCCTCCTTTGCTTTGGACATTATGTGGGAAGACTTCGGGTTCGAAGTCTGAGCGTGTTAGGAGGTGGTTTGCATAGACTGGGTAACAGTAGATCAAAGAAAAGGTAAGTTTGCTGTTAGTCCCGTCTTCTTGTTTGTCACGATAGAAGAGAAAGTTGACGTACAGTACTGAGCTAACCCCTGATGGAAATTTCGCCAACATACGATCCCAAGTACGATACTAACAAGTTGAACCAGCTGTGCGGAGACGGAGAGGCAAGCGAAGAACGGCCATTGGATCCACGTCCAACGGAAGACTTGGGAGTAGTAAAGGATACTCCAACCGCCGACGTAGATCAAGCCAGCGATAAGGAATGCGATCATCGTTCGTCGCATTTCTCGTCGGACAGAGAACCAGCCCTAAGTTAAAAAGAAATAATTTAATTGACTCTTCCCTTCGTTATTAGTTGATGATTAGAACTGACTGTCGCGATCCATGGTATGAGTAGCTAAGTAATGTGAGGTACAGCATTAGTCCTCTGCTAAATAATATCGAGGTAAAATATAACACTAACAACGTTCGCGATAGTGAATGCGATCAAGTACGCAGTGTTGTGACTTGAGATGTTGACCAGTGCTCCGTTGATAAGCTGATCGATCCAGAGAGACATCGCAGCTACTAGCAAGTAGACAGACATCTGGAGGCAGATGAACACTCCCAGAAAGTACTTAAATTAATCTCGTCAGGTACTTGGATTATTGCTAGAAAAGTGCTACGTACCCTGTAACGCTTGATGAGGTGCTTCGGGGCGCCAACTCGGGTAAACATGCACTTTGCATAAGTCTATGGGGACACGGAGATCCATCCATATTAGAATTAGGATTACCCGTTGAAAAAACTTGAACGAACTTTGACAAGCTTCCAAACCAAGTAACACGACAGCCCAAGAGCGATCACGTTCAGAACGAGGTCGACGATCTGTACAGATACTCGCTTGTGGAAGTAGTGTGGAAATAGATCAATTCCACATGGGCCATTCGTGATGAGTGCATCAAACCGTCGGTGGATGTCGAGCGTACGCCAGATTTCATATGCAGACCAGGTAGTTGAGAGAACACGCATAAAAAAGCCTGCGAGTCTGGATTGGGAGAGGATGAATTACTAAGGTTGGAGAAATATCACGGAGGGAGACACAAATCCTACAGGTGCGGAATCGAGTCATACATAATCTAAAAAACGGCGACTTGTTTAGTCGTGTTCGTATCAGGAACAAACGGTCGCAATGCGATGCCCACCGCGAAGACCGAAATACCGAGTAACCAAAATTCAGATCCGATTAGTGCAAGTTCTTCGCGCTTCGAATTCTTGAGTCTGATACGGAGAAATCAGACTTCTTCAAGTGTTAAATGCGCTTGAGTCTTACACTTGATCCGCGTAAATTAATACTCGCGTACATGTTCCGTTTAAAAATACTTGGTCTCCGTTATCGACAGCTATGGACGAAAACTCGACGCCGATAACTCCAGATGGGTCTTCGACTGGAGTTGCGTTCGTAGAGGTCTTGAGTTCTTCAACTACTGGATCTTGAACCTAATACCAAACAAGCATCATCTCGAGTGAGATTGACGGCAACGAAACGGAGAAATAAGAAAACTTACATCTCGCGTCCGAAACCCAGGTGGAACGTTGATAAGACCGGCACCAGACTGAAAGATGAGCTCGCACAGATCTTGATGTTCTCGGGTGACCGGTACATGTTTGCAAAGTTTCAGAGTAAAGTCGCCATCGTGTCTCTGCAACCAAGCAACTTGGTCTTTGGGGACATCCGCCTCCTTCAGAATAGTCGAGACTCGGCCGTCGGCATCATTGTCAAACGAGAAAAGTACCGACTGTACGATGCTATGGACAAAGCAGTGCAGGAAGGAAAAGAGGAAGAAGAATGTTGTGATTTTCGATATCGTAATGCGGAAGAACTATGGTCAGAAAAATTATATCAGTCAGACATTAGGATGACACGTATTACAATATAACCTGAATATTGTCCCTACCATAGTCTTTGTCCATATCCATACTCTCCTCGAGTATCTCGAAAATGGGTCCATGATGCTCCGTAGGTAGGTACCTTAAACGCCTGGAGCCCGGCAAGCGCTTAAGCTTTGACGATTTGACTTTCAATTCAATTAAACAAACGGAGAAAAGGTCCGCGAGATCACCAGTCTCGCCACGAGGGTCCGGCCACAAATGAAAATCAAATATACAGCTCGAAGAAAATGGAAAGGAAAGCAACGAAAGAGCGAAGAACAAAAGGCGAAGAGGGAAGGAAGGAAACAGTGAATAGAGGATTGAGAGGACTCCGCGTTGGTAGGCGACGGCCTGCGCGGGGAGGAAAAGACAGAAAAGGCGGGCATGAGGCTGTTTTTAATGGTCACCCTGGCGAGCGAAGATGAAAGAAGCAGGCGCGGGTTTTCTGCGAACATGAGAGTAAGGGCGCCGCTTAGTGCGCTCCTGAGTTACATAGTTTCCGCCGCCATTGCAATTTTTTTGGTATACAAGGCCCTCTGGCACTCAAAGAACCTTCTCGCCGCTTTTGGCAATTCAAGAGCATTATTCTATAGCATATGCATTCAAGCATGCACAGAGACAATCTTCTTGAAGTTGAGGTCAATGATATTGCATTTTCAAACCGGATGCAGCAGCTTCAACTTTGTTTTATAGCTTTTGCTCATAGTGTACAACCGGGGTCTTTGATTGTCAATTTCCTTTCTGGTACAATGCGGTTCCTAAATTATCCACGCCCTTTTCCCTCTGTACTTCTTTCTCTACCATGACAACGTCTACACCCATCTACCGTCCGCACTTCCCATAACGTCAGTCCAATCGATTGATGCGCTAACCCTGGGCCTGCTCGTGATCCTCCGGCTTTAACATGCTTCCATTCTGCTAAAACGGATCAGTAGATAGAAATCAACAAGCAGAAGGTGGTCCTGTACTCAGGGCGGGCTGCACTGACTTTGACGCACTTCGGAGACATCTCTTGAGAGCTCTGGTGCAATGCATCGTGAGACGCATCAAAGCACCGTGGCCTTGTAACATGCAATGCTCTAGGATCAATGCTCTTGCGATCTGATTAACTATGCCGAATGTATCGCTTGGGGTAGGTTGGGCTGTGCGTCCTTGCTTCTGATGAATGGATGCGCACTATGCCGAGGTCGGTCTCCAAGCGGTCACTCGTACGAATAGCTGTGCCTACCAGCCCTTATTGGTTTCTGTTCTGGAAAGTTGTATCTCAATTGCCCTGACGTCCTGGCCTGTGGACTTGGCATCCTTGTATACTGTAGCATTCATGACACGGGCTGTCATTGTCATACGCTGGACAACGCAAAATGAAATCAAGAATTGATGGAAAAGACAAGTGTCCTTTCATCCAAGTATGGTAAAATCTCATTTTCTTCTACAAAGTCGTGTGGAAAAGCTATGCCTATGATGTCAAGTGTGCTTCTGGCTCTTATGTCCTGTTCTGTATTTGTCCTTTCAGACTGATCAAGAGCACTTTGGCAGTAGACCTTCTAGTTTGTAGTATGGAGCGTCTATAGTCTTCATGTAGAGTTTGTACAGGTTGATGGCAAAAACTCTATCCTGCTGTTGACATCTTTCTGATCTTGAGATCTGTTGCTTTGGAGCTTAAAGGCCTTGCACAAACCATCACATGTGCCTTCATTTACGTTGGAATTCATATTTCCACTTGCTCTGGACGAGGTATGCGCAAGTCCCTTGCAATGAACACTGCCATGATCATTCTGTAGAAGATAATCGTCGGATTCTCTGGACAACACTATTGCAGTCATTGCTGAAAGCAATTGCCAAGCCTGAGAAGTATGCAGCAACATGTATGATGCCGGGTTTTCCTTGCATCCGTCGTTTCACAATACCTGATGTGCCACTAAATTCATGCTCTGCTCGATTGATAGCCGAGAATATGTTTTACATCTGGCTGTACTGAATACTACTGATACGTGCGAGCCAGAGGATACAGAGTGCAATTGTGGACAAATCACTATCTGACTCGTTGAACTTGTTGATGTTGGAATTCGAATTCCACAAGTTCGCTCTGATGGTCTACTGCTCTATTGGATGACGGTACCTGTTGAAAACTAAATGGAGGGTATTCACACCCACTGATCATTTGAGATAGCTTCATGGTTTGTAGGCCACTCGACACCTTTCTTATTGTATGAAGATTGAGTGCTCGTTTTGTTGAACACTATCTTTTTAAGCCCCTATAGCTGCGATATATCCTAACATTTTACGCATCTCCTCAATAGAAGTCTAGAACATTTTTGTGAGAACTTCTGGTCGAGACGCTTGCCACCATGAATACATTTAAAAACCTCCACAGCAGGTTGCCCACTATCTGTGTTCTAAACAAGGGAACGTTTAAGTATTGTATGTTCAATCAGGTAAACTTCTTAAAGCGGGTTTAGCCGGCTCTCGGAGGTACGGGAGACACGATTTGAATACTCTTGAAACTTCTGACGCACTTGATCCTTCCTTCGTATCCCCGAACAGCTATGGGAGGATCATGCTGATCAATCGCTTCGTTTCCCCCCACATCATGCTCTGCTCGGATCACTTGCTGTTCGAACGTCTCAACTGCCCCGATTCTTGTACGATAGGCATATTCTGTCGCGCACTGTACGACTTGCCTTCAGCTTAAAGGTAAATATGAGAATTCGCCAAGCCCATAAATTTCATGTAAGTCGTGTCGTCTGTTTTCATTGCATTGAATTCAATGTCGACACCTGACATACTCCACTTTTGCTACAATGTGCCACGAATCCTCGCGTCCATTGTGGGTATGCATCTGACACTTTACCTTGTACAAGAATGAGGAAATTGATTTTGATTCCGGGCAGCTTGTACGTCTTGTACATAGTGTGAAAAGATTTGATGTAATCTAGATCCAGTACGAAGTATTATATTTGAACTCGGTAAACAAGGTCTACTTGTTATACTATGACTTATAGCAAAAGGTACTGTGGGAACTCTTACAGTAATTTACATATTGAATTCTAACTAGGATACAGAATATACATATAAATATAATACATATTTAAGTTTGCTAAAATTGAGCATTTTCCCCCAACCTCTCTACACTCAGGGAAGGTT